GTATGCACACTTTAGATTGTATAAATGGTCACCTGGGGGTATATGAATGCCGCTGTTCTCTCATGAGGACAGAGTGGTTTCCAGAATCATAACAATTACCAAGTTGAATACAAAAGGCAAGGGAAAGGGCAACCGTGACGAAAACCGCTTTTGGGTGGTCACCTCGGGCGAAAAGAAGCCATAAGCTTGAACTTGGTTTGGGTTATTAGTATAAAGGAAACGTAATATTGAAGTGAGCTTCTTTGACATCCTTCAATGAGAGGTAGAGTATGTACAATAAGGTCGACTGAGTCGAAGGCCACTTTTAGTTCAAGAAAGATAGAAAAAATGAGTGTTTGTGTTCTATAATTTTTTGAATAGTGAAAATCTAGAACATGAAGCAATTATCATGTCTTAAATCGATTTGGCTCTTACTGTCGGCGTGCTATAGACTATCGGTGGACTATAATCCCAGGGAGTAGCTTAGAGCCCATGTTCATTAAACTCATTCCTGTGGTTTTCTCAAAGGAAACGATCACCTCTCTTCTAAATCGGCAACACGATCTATTCAACCCATTCAGCTGGAACTTATTCACCTTCCCATTGGTGAACCCAGGATTTTCTTCGACTCCAAGATGTACATTTGCTGAAGCCGAAATAGAAAACCGGTCCGGATCACAGACTTGAATTATTTTTCGTGTAATTTGCCGTTCGGAAGGATTGGTATTAGCTGGCAGTACGCGCCCAGCCAAAGTAGGAGTCGGGAGGTCTACTATTGATGGGACCAATTGAACTGTACCTTGAAATATCGCACACATCGCTCAAGAAGTCGCCCCTCAGAGTATCATCAGACTCTTTAATTAGTTTACTCATGTGTACACTCTGTACTCCTAATTGGACAGAACGGAATGTTACCGTTACCAACAGATGCAGCCTCCTCCATCCCTCTAAATTTTGCTACACATCACAGAGTAAACACCGGGACCCGAGTGCGAATATGTAATGCCATTTACAGTCGATTCGAAATGTAACATCCACTGCAATCATCCTGACTGATCCGTTTTACGGTGGAAAGGACAAAACCATTCACAATGTCACATGCAATAGTTCGATTATCAAATGAAGGAGAAATTCAACGGAACACGTTAGACAAATCCGTATAAGAAAATACAATGTTTTGCGACTCACATTCCGACCAGATTCGAGGAGTGCACGGTTGGATCGGTGTCCAAGTGTAGCGCGTATTGAGAATTGTTTGTCAGTGAAATGTATCTGGAAAAAGATCAAGGAGAAGTGAAGTCAGTAGCAGTTTTATGCATCCAGATTTTAGCATTTTACACGCCATATGCGTGGATGACAATTTACAAACAAAATGAAACTGAGATTAGTAGATATCACTCTTGCCAATGAAGTAAGCAATTACGTAATTCCGTGGAAACTTTCTCCTGGATAACGAGTAGACGTGCGAGATATGGCAAAACAGAAGTACGATGTGAAGAGGTACGTGCAAATAGAATTTTGAACCTTGAGCTTGTGGATGAGGTCGATACGACTTTTGAAAGCTCGTTGTGCAATGGGTGATGAGTGTCTGAGAGTATTTTGGCAATAAAATTTTCACATGTATTCTAGATGTCTGTCTAAGATAGAGTCTACAGGTTTATCTTTAGCGATGCTATTGCATTTGGAGAAGTGTTTTAGAGGTCTCGCTAGCAGATCTTTTCTAAGATACGGGGAAAACCACTGGGGAGTAATAGAACCAGTCGGGAAGCACCCATGCATTCGTAAATTTAACAATCAACTTGAGGGGAACAGAAAGTATTCTTAATCGGAATGAGAAACATGAAAGCTTTCTGACTTAATAGAATCCGTCCTGAACATGCAGTGACCATCACAAATAGTGTGATAATAAGACGTCAAGATACTTTACCATTGTTGATGTCGTTATCAGTTCATGGTTGGTATAAATGTTAGGAAACCCATTTATGAGGGCTGAACATGGTTCATTGGCCGACGGGGAAAACGTATTCTGACATTTTGAGGCATTCAATGAGAGCGAACGGGACAGGGACCAACCAGCAACATCATTTAGCTTGATACATCAGGACAAAATGATGTTAAGAGTGTNAGTGTATCGAAGAATTGATACGCTGTGTTGTTTTATTGTGGTGTTATAATGTTGATAACACAGTGATGTCGGTAGGGAATCGTATTTGCCCACGGTAACCGAAATGCCGGCAAATACAATTCTCTAACGACATCGTTGTGTTATTAACATTATAACATTCACATCATTTAGCTTGTTTTGAATTTCTAAAGCCTCTTAAGGGGTGGGTGCTTCACGTCCTAAAACATCATCCGCGTATTTATGGCCAAAGAGTATAGAAGGAATCGGAAATTGTTTGACATACACTGAAAAGAAAAACGGGGGAAAACTGATGGTTGTAAGGCATCAGAGGCAACTGGGCGAGTAGATTTCTTGCCGTTCAGGCACGTGAGATCTTCATCATCATCATCGTACAGCAAAATAAAGTGAAGCGAACTTCACTGATCGCCGCCAAACTAGTAATGCATACAAGATTAGTGGTAAAACTTTAAGTGGGCAGGGATTGGACCTATTTTGAGGGAGGGAGAAGAAGATGAACTTCTATGGTCAACACAGAATACATAATCGAACTCTGCATACATACCGTTTTAAGCATTCTGACCTGATAAGGAAAGACAACAAGAACGCCACTGCTGTCGGTTCGTTGCCATAGCCTTCAATGTCTCCAACCAACCGGTTGTGGAGTCTTTAAGACCCCAACCTGTAAGATGCGAAACACCTACTCTACGTGATGGCTTTGTGCATTTCTTCATATCTCGTCTCCACACAATCTTTTGACCTCCACATGGATTCCTGCAGCCCGGATTAGCTACAGCGAATAAAGCGTGATGCGGCAGACGATGGCTGAGCATACGCAATACGTGTCCTAACCAGCAAAGTCTACTAATATGAATTTGGTATGCTAGCAGGCTATCCCTAATAGGCTCCTAAACACACGATGGCCTAGCTCCACGTTATTAACCCGCTCGGTCCATCCCATGTGGGCTAAAACACCGATAATTGAAAATTTCTAGTCGACGGATATCTTCTAATTGCAAATTCAAGGACTCACAGCCACAAAGCAGAACCGAAAAAATGCTAGCACAATACACACGACCTTTCAACTTCAGTGCAACAGTGGGTCTACGCCAAAGGTGTTTCAGGCCTGCGTATGCTGCTCGAGCCTTGGAAATGCAGGCGGTAATTTCTTTTGCTGCGTTACCGTCATTGTTCACGCAACTACCTAAGTAGGAAAAGTAATCCACCGTAACTAATTCCTGGTCATTTAGTTTCAGAGCGGGAGTAGGCGAAAACCAGTCCTGTAGCATCACTTTGCCCTTTGAAGGTGCAAAGCACACACCGAATGTGACAACAGCACTTGTTAGTCAATCAGGTGAGCTTTGCGAGTCCTGAATGCGTTCGAATATACAGACGATATCACCGGTGTACTCCAAATCACACAATTTTCCTCCAGCTGCCCATTCAATATCTACTTAGTACGTCCTCCAGTATTTCGTCTACGACGAAATTGAACAGAATCGGTGAAAGAGGGCATCCTTGACGAACGCCGCTGCCGGTGATACAAACCCTTACAGGAACGGAGGTATGTGAGTACAGTGACCTCAGTAAGTTAACGTATTTCTGGGGCATTCCTTTTCGAAGAAGGGAACCCATCAGAGCTGCACGGTCAACTGAGTGGAACTCTCCTTACCGGTCAAGAAACACTGCGATCGTTGGCCGACGGTGGGTGTGGCGCAGCTCAAGGACCTGATGCAACGTAAAGATTTGATCAATACATCCACGGCCAGGCCGGAATCCGGCTTGCTGTTCACGGGTGTTGGTCTCGCTTAAAGGTGTCAGACGTCGAAGTCTGACCGAGGCTATCTCTTTGGTGACGATTGGGATCAAATGATCCCACGGTGGTTCTCGCAATCGTTGCGATATCCTTTCTTGAGAATAGGAACGATCAGTGATTCACCCCAAGATGAAGAAACGTGATTTTGTGTCCAAATGTAGGTTAGTAATAGAGCTTATGAGGTTACCATCCTCCATCTTGAAAAGAGTGGGAGAGATCTCATCCGGTCCTGCCACCTCTCCTCGTCTCAGAACTTGAATGCAAGACCGAACGTCTGCTTCTGCTGAGGGATTGCATGACACTACCCACAGAGCTTCTGTTGCACATGAAGCAACCTGGTAAGCACTAGGCCATCTGAACTGTTCGATGAAGTATTCCGACCAGGGCTCAAGTCGTTCATCCCTATTGTGAACAGCTGGTCCCATCTTATCGCAGACTGTTTCACTAACTGGAGTTCGCCGACCGTCCGTATTGCGTATCAATCGAAACAGTCTTCGACTGTACCCTGGTGCAGCTGCTACTTCCAATTCATTAGCTATTGTTACCCACCAGTTCTCACTGCCCTTCTTGAGGCTCTTCGTGAGCTGACGTTGTAGATACCACCTAACTCTGTTCTGATCCTGACAGGTCGGGATTTGTCGTTTTTTCTCCATCAAAACTACTGACTAAAGAGATATCCATTCAAAGCCTCCGACTGGCTTGAAGCTCAGACTCACAAGTAACATTCGCTGCAAAATGAATTGCTCGCCTAGTCTAATCCCACTGCTAATCTATATCATCACTTTGAGGCGCGCTTAGCTCAAGCCCCAGCTCTTACACATTGAATGCAGGAACTGCTGGAACGGACAGTCGATGATGAGCTATACCAGTTTGCTGGTTTAATCGCCGACCAGTCAGTCGGAGAGTGGACTGCATCAGAACTACTGCGTGGTTAGACTCAATGTAGGTGGTCCAATGGGACCAGCAGTTTTGTACTAAGCCAAGCCAAAGGTAACTTACTTTACTTACTTTTCTACTTTTGATCGAATAACTCCCCCGGGAGGATAAGTCGGTTTCCTGGATATCTCCAATGATGGCGGCCCATGCATGACGATCGGTAGCAAGGTTGACGCAGTGAGAAACCCAGCTCTGGTTCCAGTTGCGAATTCCGTATACGGATTGAAGATCCAGTAATTCCAAATCCGCCTTGATCGTGCTACTTCAGGTCTCCAGTTGACCACCGAGTCGGCATCCACGGCACGGTGCGGAGGATACAGCCTGTCGCGAGAGTTGTGTCGGACCTTCGGAGCACATGGCCAAACCACTGAAGGCGCCGGCGTAGTAGCATTTTTGAAAACTTGTCGATGTTCAAGCAGCGCCGTCGAACCTCATCATTGGAAATCCGATCTCTCCAATTTACTTTCAAGATGCGGCGTAAGCAACAATGATCAAAGACTTCGAGCTTCATTGTATATATTGTACTCTTGGGGGCCAGGTTTTACAACCATAAGTGAGGATAGGACGGATGGAAGCCTGATAAACCTGAAGGTTAGTGTTTGAGCTTATTTTGCATCGATTCCACAACAGTTTGAGGAGTTGTAGGAAGGCTCTTCTAGC